ATACTATGACTATACATAAAAGAGATACTATACTATACTATACTATACTATACTATACTATACTAGTCACTATACTATACTATCTACTACACTATCTCACTATACTACACTATACTATACTATACTATATACTATCGACACTATACTATCTGACTTATATACGTATACTATACTATACTCGCATATCGTACCCGTACTATACTATACTATACTATACTATACTATACTATACTATACTATACCATCCTATACTATACTATCCCCCATACTATACTATACTATACTATACTATACTATACTATACTATATACTATACTATACTATACTATACTATACTATACTATACTATACTATACTATACTATACTATACTACTATACTATACTATATATATACTATACTATACTATACTTTACTACTATACTATACTATACTATACTATACTATACTGTACTGTACTCGACTGTACGGTACCGAACTGTACTGTACTGTACTATACTGTACTATACTACACTATACATTATTTTGCTACACTTTATATTATTTTATTATACTTTACATTATGTTTACTATATTTATCTTTACTTCACATTTCTGTACTATACTATATTGTGCTTTATATTACTGTACTGTACCTTACGTTACACTATTTCACTATACTTTACTTTGCATTAATGTACTATACTTAACAATATTTTACTATACTTTACATCAGTGTACAATACTTTTACATCACTGTACTATACTTACACTGCTGTACTATAATTTACTTTACATAACTGTACTATACTTGAGTTTGCATTATTTCACTATACTTTACTATATTATACTAAACTTTTTGATTTATTTACTTACTATCCTTACTTTACTATACTACACTAGACAATACTGTTAATTATTAACTCTTCTATAGTTAAATTCCTTTTACTTGACTCACTTGACTATACATTACTTTACTATTCATTTACTATAGCAGTCATTTTAAAGATTATGTCATGATTCCTCAAAGGTTTTTTTCCGATCCATTATACTTGATATAGTTGTATATCATCACGAAAATCACATGCAGCATTGAGAAGAAGACAAAAAAAACTCTTTGATCATGTGATGAGAAAAGAAGCACTGGAAAATATCGTAACGACTGGGAAGATCACTGGTAAAAGAGGCAGAGGCAGACCAAGAGAAATTGATGATGGATGACTTAAGAAAGTGGCATGAAGGAATATCATCAGTGGAACGGATCCAGAGCACCAAAGACCGAGATCTGTAAAGATCAATGACAAGGCACTTGATGATGACTCGATATCAGCCTTTGGGGAGTGGGGGTGGGGGTGATCCATTTAAAGCCTAGTAAACTGATTCATGGGCTTTAAAACACGTAGTTTTTTTTCTGGAAAAAAAGGGCGGGGGGGGGGGGGGGGGTTACGAATCGAACACATTACTGAAAATCAGATGGGCAGGCCTGATTACCTGTGTGTTACCATAATGTGTCAAATCCTAATATATATATTTCCCCATTGCTGTATGACTCACGGGCTTCATTTTCGAGAATTAAAAAAAAAGAAACCACTGCCCTAATTAAGCATATCGTAGCAGACGACAAATGTGGGTTGTTTCGTTTATAGTTAAAGTGCAAGGAGCCAACAGTCTGCATACAAATAAGCCAGATCTGCGAAACAGATGAGCATGCAACCATTAAGTTCCGGATCAAGACAAAAGTCCAATAGTGGACGAGCATCGGAACTTTTAACTTGAGTTAATATTATGAAGAAGAAGAAGAAGAAGAAGAAGAAGAAGAAGAAGAAGAAGAAGAAGAAGAAGAAGAAGAAGAAGAAGATGAAGAAGAAGAAGAAGAAGAAGAAGAAGAAGAAGAAGAAGAAGAAGAAGAAGAACAAGAACAAGAAGAAGAACAAGAAGAAGACATGTTTTCTCAGAAGACATTTGTGGAAATATTAGAACACATGACGACTGGCGCATGTGACGTCTTTTGGACTCGAAAAGTATCAACTACTGGTGCCATTGTCAGCAGGCAAACAAGAACTTGGCAGCTTAGGCAACTTTACCCCCTCTTCCCTCCAAGACAAAGTTGTAAGGAGGCTAAACTACCCCTTCTCCACCAACCACGCACATAAGTCTTCTTTTTATATTGTTGTTCATACATATTCATATTCTTTCAAACTGTAGTTTGCTTTTTTACACTCAGGACATCTTCTTTTTTAGAAGTCACCGTCTGTAAACTCCTGCGTAACGTTTTGGTTGTTCGTCCACTTCTGAACTTAGTCCTGTTCCAGAATTTCAGTTCTGCGTGCACATCTATTTCACACATGTGACTTATTTGTTTGCAGACTGCTGGTTCCTTGCCTCTCAGACAGGGGCACCCCGACTAAGTTGTTGCCTTGAACAACATGCTTGTAAGGGGGCAGAGAGTTTGTTTTCTCTACCCCCACCCCATCACATAAACGGGCCCCGGAACCCACAGAGAAATTCACGACCTTATTATTCACAAACGGACAGTCAAAACGAGCAACCAAGAGGTATTGAAAGAGGCGGGAGCCCGAAGACAACTTATTACAGACATCAGAAGGAGACCGTTATCATTTTTCGACCATGTTATAAGAAGAGGGGGAAAATGGAACATGTGGTGACCACTGGAAAGATCTGTGGAAGGAGGAATAGAGGAAGACAACGAGAACAGATTTTTGAGTCTTGTTACATGGCATGGAGGAGTGTCAGCACACGAACTGATACATGCTGCAGGAGATCGCAGATTGTGGAACTGCATGATCGCCCACGCTATTCGACAAGGCACCTGATTATTATTATTATTATTATTATTATTATTATTCGGCTAGACGCTCACCAACGGATCAGAATGTAGTGGGTTCAAGTCTAAATGGAGCCAGACTATTAAAAAAATGGCATTGGCTTCTAGGTAAACTCCTGGGAAGTAAAGGCGGCCAGCATGATGCTGATCACACCACCCTTCAGTGCAGACTAGTCTATCAAATATAGGTCTAGCACTATACTTCAAATACAACTGATGGCCTGGAATATGATTCTTTGCTTTCTTCAGTATTATAAATAAATACTTAAAGAAGGCGCAAACACCTTGAGGTTCCTTTCCCCTTACATAATTGTTAAGGGGCGGAGCACCCCCCCCCCCACACTATGTTTTATGTGGTGTCAGCACCCCTATATGTAAGTTGTTTAGTAAATATGAGGTGATCTGTTGAGTCGCTTCAAATAGCATAAAGTAAAACTAAGACCTAACACCAGCTTACCTGAAACACCTGAACGCACAGCCGACCTCACTGGCTACCGCCACTTCCGCCAGACGCATGTTGTCACCTGGAAGGGCAGTAAGGGCAGTAGGGAACATCCTCTCAAACAGCTGAGCATGTCCTACAGGACTCACTGCCACTGGGCCAGTACGGTTTAACAGGCTGGTAGTAATGAATACCTTAGGAAGAGCTAGAAGAAAGTAAACATTCGTAACATCAAGCTGTAACATTTCTTTCTTTCTTTTGTTGCGTATCCTTACAGAACACTGCAGAACCAACCCCAGCAGCCCCAGGCTGTTGTGTGGTTTCTGTAGGCAAATTTACGTCCAGTAGTTTGCCATTAGACGGTCGGCTTTCATGATACCACTGTCGAAAACAACGCAAGGCACATTGCCCACAACTGGGATCGAACCCGGCACCCCGGCATTTCGAAGCGTTCGCATCGAATTAGCCACAGAGCCGACAAGCTGTAATATTAAGGGAGTTTAATCAAGGCTACACAGTAAGCATTATGAGTGGGGGGGGGGGGGGCCTCATGAAGATAACAGGATTTATGTTATCACAGTCAGGGTATTTCCACCCTTTTTCACCAACAGACCGGAAAATATTTGGCGGACCAGGTCACCATTATGATCTTAATAAAGGTAGACATACATTATTCTGTTTTTTTCATTACATGGGGGGGGGGGGGGGGGGGGGGGGGGAAGGGCTTCATGAAGATAACAGGATTTATGTTATCACAGTCAGGGTATTTCCACCCCTTTTCACTTACAGACCGGAAAATATTTTGCGGACCAATTCACCATTAAGACCTTAATAAAGGTAGACATACATTATTCATTTTTTGTTTCATTACACGGTATAACACTGCAATTTTTAGCTTATACAACTTCTACTTTAGCTGAAAAGTTAGCAAATGTTATATTCCTGGCTAGAGTGTTATTTCTGAAAGACGAACCTCTGTAGTAACATCAATTCGATTCCTCTTTTGAGTTTTTATTACTGTCATGACCTATACTTCCGACGCCTCATTGCCGAGTGCAGTGCCGCAATAGTAGAGAAGCAGGGCAGCGCTTGAGTGATGTAGTCGCTACATGAATGGGTGGAAAACCGTATGTTTCCCACCGAGAAAATTTCAGCCATTGGCATTAGTGCACGGATGACAAGATGAAGAACTCCATATGAAAGGACATATGAGAGAGAATAAACATTGAGATTAAAAAAAAAAGCACATACAAATAAACTGCAAATCTTAAATGAATGGTGCCTGCGTAGGACAGAGGCAATCAAATGGTATAACAACATAATTAATGCTAAGCCTTTGAAGATAACTAAACACATTACAGTGAATCAAAAGGTTAGGAAAAGACGCTGGTGTTGGATTGGATGCACAGTGAGAAATCTCGAGAGCACTATTACTAGAAGGGTTTTAAACTGGAACCCACAAGGGTATAGAAATAAATGTGGACCAAATACGCACGAAGAAGGGAACTAGAGATTGAATTCAACAAGATGGGGAAGACAATTGCGAGCTGCGTGCGATAGAAAAGGACAACTTGGCGTGAGCTGATTGAGGACCTATGCTGCACTGGGGGATGAAGAGCAGAAGAAAAAGAAGAGGAATTACAATGACTACTCACCCTTTTTACAGACAAACGCGTTGGCGGTCAGGGTACAGTCCAAGAACGCCAGGCTTCCGCTGTTCCGGAGGGCTACGCACTTGTGAGAGGTCGCGGCCGGCAGTCCGGGGAACACCATTGAGTACTGACCATTCATTGTCTAGAAGAATATGACAAGTAAAAAAGTAAAAATCCCCGTTGACGCCTTTAGGCGCACGGGGTATTCGGGAAGAGCACCCATATTTTTACAGATCAATCGGAACTGAGTGGGTAATGTGGTCAGCATTACGCCGGCCGTCTTTACTTCCCCAGGACACACATACTGGTACCTATTTTTTAAGACTGCGTCGACCTGCAACGCCCCAAACAATTATAAAAACACACATCCAGCTGTGGATTTCGATCGCGGTTTGTCGGAATTTCGAGCCAGACTCGCAACCCCTAAGAATATGGCAAGACAAGGGTGTATTTATGACAGTGTGCCAGGACATGATGTTACCCACACAAGCTGGATAACAGACAGGGCCGGATCAACCATTAAACACCCTAAGCACCTGCTTAGGACATCACAAAGGGAGGGAGCACTACATAAAATTTCAATAGCTTTGAAGCTTACTTTTAATTTTCTCGGTTGAACTATACTAAAAAATCCCATCAGAACAACAAGGCTGGCTCTCTATCAAATATAGAAGCAGATGTGAACACTAGATTAGTCTGAGAATCCGATCATAGACTTCTCTCTATCAAATATAGGAGCAGATGTGTTACATTAGATTAGTCAGAGAATCCGATCAGACTTCTCTTTAATAAATATAGGAGCAGATGTGTTGCACTAGATTAGTCTGAGAATCTGATCACAGACTTCTCTCTATCAAATATAGAAGCAGATCTGTTACACTAGATTAGTCTGAGGATCCGATCATAGACTTTGCAATTAGAAATAAAGTAGGGGAAAACTTCTCAAATGAACATAAAGTGTAGGTATACAAAAATAGACATGATTTTCCATCTTACTGTAAATTTTGTTTAATAACAATAAATGCAATTTTATTTTATGGTTTATTTACAATTATATCTCTACGGGGGACCAGTGCCTTCAGAACACCCGTGCACGTTGGGCACTTGCCTGGGGGCACCACGTGCATAGGGGCCTGACACTAATCTGTGTACATGAAGTGACCATGTAAAGTTATGTAAGTGGTTGTCGAAGAGGCCCCAGCACACTGGTTTACGCAAGTACCCGTAATGCTGGTAAGGCGGAAACCAAAATCTTTGAAGTGCTTTGGGCATCAAAAGGTCTTAATTTGACCCTCACTAAAGGTTACTTACTGTGCTGCAACCTACGTTCCACGCGTTCTCATTTTTTTTCAGAATGAAAACGTTAACAGAAGACAACGCAGAAAGGTTTTCGAGCAAACAGTACACCGCGAAAGTTCAGGAGCCTAACTAAGCACTAAGTGCTTCTCACTAAGTGCTTGTGTAAGTGGGCGGAGATGGGCCCGAGTTAGTGAGTTGTTAAAAAAAATACAAATCTTCTGACGATATACAGCGCAATAGATTAGGTACGATGTATCATTTATGTCTACAATATTTGAATTTACACCTGGAAAGTATTGTTTTGAGTAAAGTTAACAGTTGAAATCCAAGTCGAAAGGATCGATTTCATTGCACCGATAACGCACGTGGCTTGGTCCCTCTCTATAGAACGGCTACCTGCCTGCCTAGAGTGACGTACAAAACACAAACTCTATAGCTCTAATGATGATCCCAGGAACCTCCCTAAACATGTGCATTCGTAAACGGAACGACTCGTCCGTGAAAACAAACCCGCGAGCTTTGCAAAACCAGGTGAAAAACTGAAACATTTCACCGCGGAGACTCTGCGTTTAATTATAAATATAATAATAACAGCTCAGTAATACCTTGGACAGACCGGAGCAAGTTATTATTATACACCTTAAAACAGGAGACATGCCACATGCACACAAAATTTCAGATTGGCAAATCAGTCATGTGAGCAAATGGACAGGCCCCTGAGACAACAGATCACGTACTCCAAGACTGTCCCCAAAAAACAGCATCTCAAGGCAAAAGAAAAAATACCAGTACAAGCCAAACTTTACGGGTTGGGGAGTGAATTACAAAAGACAGTGAAGTTCATACTATTCATAACACTGCAAATATAGATAACCGTTTTCATGCGAACAAAACAAGAATTATAATTATCTTTTAAACAGCAACTACTTAGTCACAGTTTTTAGCCTCTCTGCACAGAGACTTCGTGGTCTAAAAAAAAAAAAAATACTTTGATGACTTACATATGCGACCGGATCGCCCACTGGCTCGGTATTTGGGTCTGTCCTATGATCGCATTACCGTTGCAGGAGTCCTTTTCATGGCTTTTGGTGGCTTGCGGTGCTAAGCTTTTTTATGTGCCGCACATAACCTTGCCACAATTATAACCTAAAACTCCCCCTACTGGGATGCTGGTTAAACGAGGCGACTTAAAAAAAAAAAGAGGCAAAGCAAAGCACCTTTGGTGACATAAAGATACGTGTGGCGGCCTAAACTTCAGATCTTTGGCAGAATTTACGGGGATGTATGAATTGACATTCTTCACTTGCTGTCCGCATACACATGACTGGGGACCTCAACATTCAGCAATCTTCTAGTACCTACCCAGTGGTGGAATTGTTATGGGATGTAAATGCATAAGAGAAAGATAATGTTGTCAGAATGAGACTCTTTCAAGCAAAGTGTGATCACAGCAATTGTCTGCTTAGGTCTTTACTGTGATGATGGCCCGGCTCTCTAGCGTAATTGGCTAAACCGGATTGCGCGGAGACCGGGTGACGAACTCCTTGTGGTCGGGGTTCAATCCCGGGGGTAGGCAGGAAAGCCACATTTTCTCCCAGATTTACGGTATTTGCAATGGAATCAAGGCCGACAGGTTGCGATATCCATAATACCGAGCCTAAGGGTTAATAACTCATGGTTTCTGGATACTAAAACAAACAAACAAACTGTGATGATGATGATGACGAAGACGATGATGATGATGATAATGATGTTTGAAGTGGAGACAACGAAACAACTACAAAACCTCTCACTGTGATTACCTCCATGTTTGATCTTGACCGCTGAGTTATCGTCATACACCCACCCATTGGTGCTGGAACCTCGCAGCCCTATCCATAGGAAGTCGGTCTCGCTGTTGGGGTACTGTGAAACAAAGGATAACAAAACAGTCTTGAAGATGTTGGAACCCTAGACACAGGCAGCCCAGTGCCAAGAAATCATGTGGGATTTAGCGGTGGGGGGGGGGGGGGGGGGGAGGGTAAGGGGACCCTCTTCCACCGTATAATTTTCTAGGGGCAGGGGCTCAAAGAGCTTAAGCCTTGTTTATTTGCGCAGTATTGATAATGATATAAATCATTATTATTACAATTGCTTCCTGAAAGGCAAACACATTTATAAAAGTAATGCTTTTAAATTGAACATATACATGGCCGGAATACGTTAGGGTTCTGCTGTTAATTTATTTGGGGGAAGGGGGGTAAAAAAAGGGGGTGGGGGGGGGGGTGTCAAAAGTGTTTGAGCCAGCACGTTACGGCGCCTAGGAACACTAGGTCTTCCAAACATCCTCGCTAGGAGTGATGCTTGAATACCGAGGTGCATGACTCACCACCTGTGCTAGTGTATCTGGACCAGGGAAGTGACAGTGTTCAAAGCCAGATCTACTGTCCTCTAGGGGCTAATCCTGTCACGGATGTGCGTGCAACACTAAAATTCAGGAACTAGATAAAACGCCAAATAAAGATTACAAAAGTGCTCGCAGAAGGAGGTGAAGGATAAGAGGAAGAGAAAAAAAAAGAAGAACAAGAACAAGAAGAAGAAGGAGGAGGAACAGGAAGAGGAGGAGGAGAAGTAGAAGAAGAAGAAGAATGTAGAAGGCGAATAATTCGGGATGTTTCTTTGAAATCAAGGGTCATCTGCCTGAAAGGCAATGAACTAACAGTATGCATGAAAAAAGCTAGATTTGTAAAACTCACAAAACTAATATTCTGAAGCAAGACAACATCCAGAAGTGGACGAACAACCAGAAATTTCAGCCAAAGTTTACAGAAGGTAAACGCTAAGGAAAAAAACAGAAGAAAAAGAAGAAGAAGAAGAGAGAAGAAGAAGAAGAAGAAGAAGAAGAAGAAGAAGAAGAAGAAAAAGAAGAAGAAGAAGAAGAACAAGAAGAACAAGAACAAGAAGAACAAGAAGAAGAACAAGAACAAGAACAAGATCTGCGGGAACCTCCCCGACCACCACGTAATCATTGTTTGGATCAACCTACCTGCCAATGAGAGATGATGAAACTCTTCTCCTCTGGACTCCACACACTGGACAACGACCCTCCGAAGCTGCGACACTGGTCTCTAGCCGTGTCCGCGGTAACCTGCCCGACCAACACCCTGTAGCAGTAGTCATTGTAGTCGGTCCATCCTTGGTCACAACCATAGGCTTGCAGTTCGGCACTAGTACCTGGGTGAGATGCACTTATTGAAGTCAATACAGAACGTCTTTGGAAAGATGCTTAGTGAATGTTTCCTGTATGTTTAAACATTCCGAAGTAGTGGCAAAAGTTAAACCTTTCTATGTTTTTTCCTCCTTTTTTTTCGGTTTTAAGCTGAGGATCCCCGTGGTTTCAGTAAGGGGAAATTGGGGGGTGTCTCAATGCAAACTGAAAAGCATGTCGTAAAAGGCATCTAATTAGGGTTGTGTCACACAAATACGGTGTACGTTTGCCTGGGAAGCGATGAACCAACAGTCTGCATACAAATAAGTCAGATATTTCAAAAAGATGTGCAAGGAAAACTCATGTTCTGGAGCAAGACCACTCTTAAGAAGTGACTGAACACCCAGAACTTTTCCTCGGGAATTTACAGCCGATAAAATCGAAGAAGATGTACTCAGGTTGTCAGTTATGTTGCCTCAGTGAGCCGGCACATCAATGTGTTTGCTCGCAGGTTTTTCTAAAGGGGTAACTTCTGCAGCATGTGCTCAGGTGTTTGGAGCGCGGTATGACAGGGACATTGGGGTGATTATGCAGTCTGCATTCTGTTCATGTGTGCATTAAATCTACTCTAACTTGGTATACCAGTTCTAACCACATGTTTCCACACATCAGTCGTCACTCTGTATGGCACAGGTCAGTATCATGCCGGTTACTTTTACTTTCCTTGATATCTTCTGGAAGCCCTTTGATACTGGGTTTACCACGAAGTCCAGATTTATTGTGGATAATCCGACTTAGATTCCCACCGCCAACCATCTATTTAATATTGATTTACCCTTGAGCTAGTAGGCTTCATGTGTTACTGTAATACTCTTCCTGATGAACTGGGGACTCCGTGGCGACGTGGTCGAGTCGTTTGCCTAGCGCTCTGAAGGTCATGGGTTCGTTTCACTAGATAGGGACGTTCAGTTTACGAGTAAAATGTCTAATTTAATCCAGGGGATCGTATTTGGAGCTCAGAGTTTGTGATTTGTAGAGCCTCTCGTGGCTAGTTGTTGTGTGGAAAGAACAGAGCAATATGTCAATTAAATCGACACTCTTGACTTTAACGTTTCCTGAAGGACCCTACAATACATAGGAAAAGTAGCATATTTCTAACAATATCATGCAAGACATTCTGTTTCAAAATTACAGCAAAGTTCGACTAGGGTTGAATAAGGTGGACAATCTTACCTGCCTGAGTAATTAGTAGTAGAGTAACAGAGAACACACCGCTGATACCAAGCGTTTGGTGCACATTCATCCTTTCAGACATTTTATTGTGCCGCAGAACGCCAAGATGTATGAAGTTATGTGGAAAGACTATTTTAAGAATAATATCTAGACAGTTTCATTATATGTTGGTTTCTTGTCTGAAATTATAAGGAATAAAATAGTAAGTTGCTGCTAAGAGATATTAAAAATCGAAAACTAAGCTTCACTCAGCACTCAGCAAACACAGAAAACTTAAAATTTTAAACTATTGTATGATTCCACTACTATCTTATGGATGCAAGAGTTGCAAAGCAACGTTAGCACTAGATTAAATTTTTTTTTAAAATTGACAGTTTTGAGAACAGGTTGTTGTGTATCCTTTACAAGACCCTGGCTTTTATGTGGTTTTTCTAGGCAAATTAACATCAAGTAGTTTGCCATTGCTTACTGGACGGTGGGCTTTCTTGATACCACTGTAGAAACCAACGCAAGGAGCATGGCCCGCAGCTGGGATCGAACCCTGCATCCCCGCGTTACGAAGCTTTCGCATCGACTTAGCTACAGAGCCGACGTTTTGAGAACAAGTGTCTTAAAATAATACAAAATTGTCACTGGACAGATGTTAGACTCAAAACGCAAATAAGACATTAGGCCGAGCAAGATAATGTATCCAATTTCAAAAGAAAGCGCCGCTGGAACTACATCGTACATGCACTTAGAATGGATGCCCGGCTCTCTAGCGTAGTTGGCTAAACCGGATTGCGCGGTGACCGGGTGACGAACTCCTTGTGATCTGGTTTCACTCCCGGGGGTAGGCAGAAAAGCCACATTTCTCCCAGATTTACGGTATCAAGACCGAAATGTTGCGATATCCATAATACCGAGCCTAAGGGTTAACAACTCATGGCTTCTGAATACACAAGACTCCAGCATAAAGCCCTAATATAGGCACCGGAAGGGAAAAGAAAACTAGGAAGACCAAGAGAGACTCTGCGCATGACCATCACCAGGAAAGGCTAGAGCAACGAAATCTAAGACCTGAAACAGGTAAAAACGAACCGCCAGACATGGAGAGCTCTGACCTCTGCCTTATGCACCGCTACTGGGCTCAAGAGGGAGGACAAACAAACTCGGCACAAAATGTCTTGGGAAGTAAAGACGGCCAATGTGATGTTGATGAACTACCGATCTGTCAAAATAAATATATATTTAACATCATATGCGCGTTGCGCGAAAATAGTCCGTCACTAAGATTATATTATCGCAAACTATGGGTAACAATGAATGAACTAGCTTAAGACAATTGTACTTTAATTTGTATGCTTAAAAGATTATTAAAAAAAAACACAAACTCGTAGATTAAAAAAAAAAATCTCATATGCTGCAATGCGAACGCTTGGACCATGTTTCTGTGTTTAGCGCATGAGGCATATAGTGCCCGACATAAATTTATATAGAGCGGCACACCGGCCACCTTTACTTCCCCTGATATTACCTAGTATCCGTTTCAAGCTAGGTCGTCCAGGAAGCTCAGGTCAGTTTAAACGAAAAAATTAATTTTCATGAGGATTTAAACGCTAAACGTTAGAGTCGGCAGGTACGCGGCTGACAGATATGCTTCGAAGGCGGCGGTTTTTTTAAATTAGCTTCAACCAGAACTCAACACAACCTATATAATATTGCGAACACAGAGTCTACATAACTGGTGATGAGATACAAGAAACTGAACCTCCAAGAGATGGACACAAGCAAGTGGGATACAAATCCTAGACCAGTAAGTAGTTTGTGCGACGGCCTGTTTACACAGAGGAATGACTCCACAGCTGAGAACGGTTTCTGGCATCACCAGGGGAGAGAACTGTATGACGTTTGACTCTGTTAATCAATATCGTGGGAAAAGCGGTGATCTGTTTTCTTTTTCTTTAAAGTCCGGTGAGTGTGTGTGTAAGTGTGTGTGTGTGTGTGTGTGTGTGTGTGTGGTGTGCATGTGTGTGTGTGAGTGTGTGTGTATGTGTGAGTGTGTGTGTGTGTGTGCGCGCGCGTGTGTGTTTGTGGGAGAATAAAGGGAGAGACAAGAAGACAGAGAGACAGCTAGACAGGCAGAAGATGGCAACGGAGCGCTTATGGGAATGCAGCATGTGCTGTGATTCAGTTGTTGAATCAACTTAACTAAACTTTGCTATTGATACAGCTACTACTTCTTTTTCTACGCTGCTACTTCTACGACAACAAAGTAAAAACATTACAACAAACACAAAGAAATTTAATTATTTAAATATGGTGTGATCAGAGAAGCAAGCCTAATATAATAAAACAGTAAAATAATAATACTAGTAATAATAATAATAATCTTTAGGGGAAAAGAATAAACGAAAAACAGCAAGAAACAATAAGACGAGTAGAATTTAGAAAACTAAAAGCTCCTACTGAATTATATTAAAGTTAATTTTTTTTCAGAAATCTCACTTTCAAAACAACCTATCGACGTGAAGTGGGAGGTCAAATGAGACATTTCCAATTGTTTGTTGTTGTTGTTCTTTAGTGTGTCGGCTGCAGTGTGAAGTGAAGTTGAGTTGTGCGAATGTATGGCGTAAACTTGTCCGTATCTCTTATAAGGGCTTTAGTTTAACCTCTGGTTTACCAGTGGACATCGCCGTCTGTGGCTTAGACGTTGCGAGCGCGCTTCGTAATGTCCGGGTGCCGGGTTCGATCCCTGCTGCGGACGATTTGTCTTGTGCTGGTTTCGACAGAGGTATCGAGAGCTGACCGATTAGAAAGCAATGGCTGAACGTAAAATCTGCCTAGAAAAACCACAACAGCTAATGAGTGCTGGGGTTGGTTCTGCAACGTCCTGAAAAGGATACGCAACTAACTTTTATTTTATCAGTAGACTGGATTACTGTGTTGCGAGTTGCTAAATTACGTTGGACCTAAACATCAAAAACAGTCTATATATGACTAAACCTCTTGCCACAAAAAAGGTAGCCGCACAAACACTAATTCTCTAGTTTCAGCGACGATCCCGAGAGATGTCAGTAAAATGTGCACTCGTGAGAAGAGGCCGCAACTTGACCTGCTCGTCATGAAGATATCCATCCATATCAACTCCCTCTCTAGTGTATGTGCGCGCGCGCTTGTGTGTGCGCGTGCATGTGTATGCGCGCATGTTGGTGTTGTGTGAAATACATGCACACATGTGTTGGATGCATGGATGCATGAAATGACATGAAAGTATGTGCTTGTAAGAAGGTGTGAATGTGTATGGTGTATATGTGTGCGTGCATGCATTTATGCTTGTGTGTATGCGTGTGTGTGTGTGTGTATGCATGTGTGCGTGTTAGGCATGATTGTATTTTTGAATGCGTGCGTTTACCATCGTTTTGTGTGTGCCTGTATTTGACTTGGTACTCATAGTACATATATTGTGGTCCGAACAAAATACCCCCTAAACATATAATACAATCGCAGACTTTAAATATATTATTGTTTGGAACGGCTTAATGTAAAACAGGTCTGCATACCTAGTCTGTGATCCTTAAAAAATGTATTCGTTCATTCGTCTCTCTCTCTCTCTCTCTCTCTCTCTCTCTCTCTCTCTCTCTCTCTCTCTCTATTTCTCTCTCATTCTCTTTCTCTGGAGGTTTTGTGCATTACTAGGCAACGGTCATAAGAAAAAGTGTGTGTGTGTTGTCTGCGTGCCCAATCCGCGACCCCTCTGAAAAAAAGTGAGTTCGTTCTTTTTCGCCTTCCCCTTCTCCCCCCCTTCTCTCTCTCTCTCTCTCTCTCTCTCTCTCTCTCTCTCTCTCTCTCTCTCTCTCTCTCTCTCTCTCTCTCTCTCTCTCTCTGAGAACTTATTTCACACAAGGAGCCAAATGGTTGAAAGAAGATATGTGTATGCGGTGCACGCTATGTGAATAATTGATGACTTCATCCAAGAGCCAGCCCGTACGGCAGGTTTTTGTCTTCTTGCTAGAGAAAATAAAACCATAGTTAGCTACATGTCGAGAATAGAAACGTCGATTGCAGACAGTAGAGAGTTCATAAAGGGGACACAGAAAAGCCGACATGCCCTCTGATAATGTATGTGTGTGTGTGTGTTTGTGTGTGTGTGTGTGTATATATATATATATATATGCATACACAGACACATAATACATACATTCATACATACATACATACATACATACATACATACATACATACATACATACATACATACATACATACATACATTCATACATACATACATACATACATACATACATACATACATACATACATACATACATACATACATACATACATACATACATACATACATACATACATACATACATACATACATACATACATACATACATACATACATACATACATACATACATACATACATACATACATACATACATACATACATACATACATACATACATACATACATACATACATACATATATACACACGCGCGTACACGCTTGCAGGCACGTATACACACACACACACACACTGCTAACAAATGGAAAGGCCACTTACAAATTCAATTTAAAAAAAATGAAAGGGGAGAAAGTACTCTCAACTCTGGTTCCGCCGCTCAACATACCTGGCCACTTCTGGATTGCAACCACTGCATCATCTGGTTCTTGAAGCTTTTTCTTTCAGATACTGCAATTGATGAGTCATCTTCACATGCCTGTCTTTGGTTGCTTCATGCACTGATATGCTGGTCTGTACTTCTGTCACTATAGGCTAGGAAGGTTACCCCACCGTTTGGTTGCTTCATGCACTGATATGCTGGTCTGTACTTCTGTCACTATAGGTTAGGAAGGTTACCCCACCGTCTGGTTGCTTCATGCACTGATATGCTGGTCTGTACTTCTGTCACTATAGATTAGGAAGGTTACCCCACCGTCTGGTTGCTTCATGCACTGATATGCTGGTCTGTACTTCTGTCACTATAGGTTAGGAAGGTTACCCCACCGTCTGGTTGCCACCTCACTGACTGACTGACTGAATTTCTACACCACCAGGACATCACACAAGCGATAAATACCCGATGACACAAAGTGCTACCATGTGGATGAGGATCGCCGTGGAGAGGTCCCAGAAACCGCGTTCAGACAATTGGCCATATTTATGACCTGGCTATATTGCGGCCCCTGGCAAAAGCCAGAGTAGGGCTTCAAATAACGAAAAATTTCATCCTGAAAAGGATAAAACTGTGATTATTCAAACCAGAGTTTATAACCACCTCACTTTCCACTGTAGCAAAACCTTCATAATCTATTCCTTCGAATTCTTTCATTGGCAAAGACTGTCAGATGGGACTCAGACGTCCCGCTTTTGGGTTGTGACAAATTCAGGGTCTTGAAATACTTCTGTATCTTTTGTCAGTTGAACCTTATTCCAAGCAAACCGGATCCCGAAGACAGCATCCCAAGTGTTAACTGATGCAACAGATGGAGTTGCTTAAACAGGCGGACCACATATCTGTCATTTAGTATTGACAAACTGCGAGATCTGGGCCCATTAGTATATTTTTTAATGGGTTAAAAACAGTCTTGAAAAAGAGGCTGGATTTTTGTTGGTTTGATTGGTGGCATAAGTTTTCGTGTTAGTGAGATGATCCACCTATCGTTTCTTCTTCACGTCTTGGTCGATGCCCCTTACCCACTCTCAGAAAGAGCGCCAGTCGTCCAAGTAGTTGATCTCCAAGTAAAAGAAAAATTTTCGGACTTCAGGTAGGTAGGTAAGTGCTGTGATGGAAAAAAAAAATGGTCACGTTTAACACCAACATCCCCGAAGGGGGAGCTTTAGCTTATAATTGTAAGAAGGTTATGTGCTCCATATAAAATGGTTAAGCATTGCACCCCATCAAGAGCCCTGAAAAGAATTCCTGTAGTGTTGATGCGATCAAAGGAGACAGACCCAAAGATTGTCACGAGCGACGACGAAGTCTACTACCGGCGAGCCAATGGGCGACCCGGCTGCGATGTGTGTTCGGATTTAAAGTTTGTTATGCGAGGGACTTTGCCGATTTACTAATGGCTTTAGCGTCTTTTCGGCTGAGTTAGCTCAAAGCATACCAGTGAAATATTCTGTGGAAATTGTGTCTCGATGAAATGATATTAGCAAAGAAACGTGCAGCAATACTGTCTTTAGGCAACACTCGCAAAAATATAAACTTGAATAAAACTTCCTAGCACTGAAAGTTCATAGCAGAACAGACAAGAGTTCTGATATCAATGTGTCTGTGTATCTAAGTTCCAGCCGGCGCCCCAGCACAAACCTTTAACTCGGCACCCATTTGGCGAACGCCTCTAAACAAAGAACTCATCTAACATCACCTTATTCTCTCTCTCTCTCTCCTCCCCTCCCCACTCTCCGTTTCAATCACCAGCTTACCCAGTCTTTTATCAGCCCTATGAGCCTGTATCATAAATCTATCTATCATCTTAACTCTACTCGTCCCGCCCCCAGTCCGATCGTCTAGGCCAGCCGGTCGTTAAGTAAGCCCAACATGGTATTTTCCTTAGCAAAGATCAATATTTTGATAGAAACATTTTCATTTCCGTGACATTATTCAAATGTCGAGTTTTTTTTTTTTTTAAAGTAACCACGTCCATGTCTGTGTATATGATTCTCCATTGCCTGAGAGTCGAATGTGAAAGTGAAAGTGATTTGTGGGGAGAACCAACGAACTTTAATTTCAAAGGGTCACAAATTGGGCACGCAAACCCATCTTTAATTTGACCCTTTCAAATACTAATCGTTCACATAGCAACTCTGATATATATATAACCAAAAAAAAATATATATCTATAAATCAAGTTTCATAGTATGCAT